TACGTCCAATCGTTTCTCCGTTTGCCTGGAAGGAATGCGCCCAAAGCCTCCGAAATCAGAGGTAAAAAAGAGGGTACCGCAAAAATAATAATGATGGGGAGGGGGGGGGAGGGGAGAGATCCAAAGAGCAAACAGAGGGAGACGGAGAGGGAGAGAGGGAGAGAGAGACGTTGAAGTCCGGCAGGCGGGTAACCATTGGACGCAAATATCGTAAAACCAGCCGGCGATCGAGTTAAGCGACCAATTCACAACGGAGAAAATAAATCAGCGGCAGACCAGACCAGACCAGACCAGACCAGGCCAGTCCGGTCCAGTCCAGTCCAGTCGGTGTCATGGGTGGATTACCTAGTGGATTCTATTCTTGTGACCGGTTGCTGCAAGTCAAATCCTCGACCCCAATTCATCCGGACTCCTCACGGTGCATGAACGGGTGGTGTCACCGGCACCGGTTCAGGTTACGAAGGAGGGAGTCAATGCGTTTCAAGAGGATAATATAAGGAAATTTGAAATCCCAGGCGCATGTCAGAGGAAGTATAGCCGTTTGTCATGAACACAGACGGGCGAGGCGAGATTCGTGCCCGTCCGAACAGGATGATGGAAAGGTCGAAGGGGACTAAGGATGCAGAGGGCGACGCTCCGGGATCCTCCTTCCCTTAGTCAGGTGTCTGTATGTAACTATGTACCGTACTACTCGTACATACCTTTAGGAGTCGACAGACAGAGACAGACACATGGTGTAGTAGTACTTACTGAGGGAGAGAGATCGTCGACAAAGACCGGAAATCGATCCTCCGATTAATGGTTTAAACCTGTATAAGCCCTTGAGCGTGTCGAATATCGATAGCAGATTGATTGATTAATTCCTTAATTCCGATCAATTAATTTAATCCAATGTTGAGGGTCCCCCAATCCCAGGTACCAGGTATCGTACGGGATACTTTGACGACACCGGGGCCGGCGATGACTAATGGGAGTCGAGACAAGCGTGACGGGTACCTGGGAGGTGGGGCGGGCGAAGATGTCCCGCCTGCCAGATGATGACCGCGACTTCTGACCAAGGTACCGGTACCGGGTACTTTACACTAGACGGAGTACTACGGAGTACCTGAAATACCAGCCATTTTTATTATTTTATTTTATTTTTATTTTTTCAACTCTTTCCCCCCCTCCTCCCTCCTTCCCTTTCCCCCTCTCTACGGAGTACACTGCACTCCAGGCTGGAACTCTCGAGTCTGCTGCCCCTTCACTCCTTCCTGATTACACCGTTGATCCCTCCATCCTCCATCCTCGTCACTTGTGAACGTTCCCCTCATCTTCAATTCTCCATCCCCATTCCTATCATACATGTCACCCTTCCCTTCACCCTTCTTCTTCTCCCTCTTGGTTCCGTCGGGATAAATGGGTCAAACTCTAAATATTCAATGGCTTCCTTGACAAGTTGTCCATGCAGGACCATCTCGGACTACGGACTGACGGTTGATTCAAATCGGCGGGGCGCTGCCTCTCCTGCATGCCGATGGTTCTCGTGCATGGACCATTGTTAGTATCGATCAGATGCGACGGCTCCTCTAACTGGCAACTCTCCCTGCTAAGAATACCTGTCCACCACCCGACAGTCGACCCGTCAAATGAAATCTAGCGGCAACGCTGCCTAGCTCAGCACTACCACTGCGACGATGTAGCACTAGCAGGTTCACAAGCGCGGTGGTGGCATTAGTCCGCCTGCCTTGTGGATGAAGAAACTCATGTCGTCCATTCTGCTTGATCGGTTTTGGTCCCTGTCAACTTGTCGGCCCCTCCCCTCCGGCCGACAATAAAGAGGGCCAAAAAAAAGAAAAAGAAAGAAAAAGAAAAAATAAAAAGGCTGTGTAATGTGTATCATTCCCGCCATATTTTTGTCGCTTTTGCTCGCATTTCCATCCGAATTTTGATGATTCATATGTTCTTTCTGCATTTTATTTCCTGTGTCCCTGGTCTTGTCTCTCTTCTTTCTTTTGTTTTCCCTGAAGAAGGATAATCCGGAAAAAAACAAAAAATCCAATTCTCTTTATGTTCCCCATCCTTGAGCCACCCCCTCATCTCATGCATACTCGATGTACTTCGTTCTCTCTCGCTTTCTTTCCCTTGTGTCTTCCCCCTAGCCTCAATCCGAAGTTACTAGCGTGATTGAGAAGTCCCGTTTCATGGTTAATTGTATTGGCCAGAATTAAATCCTTGCAGTCTGTTCTTTCCATTACCTTCGGAACTAACGGGCTCCATTCTTTCTTTACCCAGCCTCCAGGATTTTGCTTTCGTCTGCGTCTATTGCGGGGCCTATCAACCCCACTCTGCGGTTATCATTTTGGCTCCGCTGCTATCAACTGTGTGCCAGTCATCGATGGAATGCGTTCCCGTCATCGCCAGAAGGGCCAATGCACGCTGCTGCATAACGAATGTTATGTTCTGTCTGTAACTCTGATCCCTACAGATCTTGAGAATTGAGCACGCCAGACAAAGGCGACAGCTGCCTTCGGGATGGATCGACCGCACCATCTGCATGCGGGAGCTAGCCCCGAACCTCGCTCATGATTCTGGAGCTTCAGTTCTGAACTTCTGACTTCTGCGCAACGATGTCGACTCTGGCCCGTCGACCGACCCAACGTCTTGGGGCACGAGTCTCCACCCATCACTAATCATCCCAGAGTCAGACTCACATCTTGGACCATCGGGATTGCGCTCTTTCTCGTGGGATGAAGTGAGCGACTCGCGTTTCCTCATTTAGATGGCAAGCCTTTGCGGCCTGTCTGTACGGCTTGACGTCGTCTTGAATCGTCCCTGTTTCCCGCCCTTTCTTCTTTTTCTTTTTCCCTCCTAGCCCCCTCTTTCAATCTTGGTGAAAGCCGTAGTCCAGGGAGTACAACAGTAGTCCCAAGCTGTTGCATCATTTCTTCATACCGGGCCCTGTTTTGGTCTTTACCCCCTTGATCACTTCGCTCGTCCAGGTTCCTACCGTTCCGCAGCTTTATGCATCATTAGCCTCCGTCTACCGTTCCTTTTTATTTATTTGTTTGTTTGTTTGTACATTTTCTAGTTCATAATTTGACATTTATTTCTTAGTTTATCTTTGGCGCCCCCCCTGAACTCTTTTGGCCCTCATTCGGAAAACCCAGAGTTAATGTGCCCCTCTTCGGTGTTGTTTGTTTTCTTCCGATCCTTCTTGACGCTTGGAATCATCTGAAACCGTCGTTTTTGAAACGCTATCCTTTTCTTGGTAGAACACGGCCTAATCCACCCCAGGCTGGTTGGTCCGGTCCACCTCGTCTGATTCCCTGTGGCTTTCCCTGGGCCTTTTTTCTTTTTCGAAAAAAAAAGGAAGAGGGAAAAAAAAAGAAATAAACCACTCCAGAGGGCACAACACAGTGGGCACTAGGGAAAAGAGTCCCTGCAGCTTTCCTCTGGCAAGCCGGACGCATGCTTGGTGTCTGCACTGGTCTTTTTCTGCGCAGACCCGAATTAAAAGTCCGTTTGGTCAGAAAAGTTCCTTCGAAAGCGATAGAGTGTTACTTGCCTACTTGGTACTCTTTTCTCTTACTTGTCGTGTACCCCCTCCCTCTCTGTCTTTCCCCTTTTTGGTTTCGACTTGATTTATTTTCTGTCCTTTTTTCTGTATTCTTACTTTATTTTATTTTTTGTTTAATTTTTTTTCTTCTCTTCTCGAGCCCCCTTTTTGTCCTCCCATAAGGAGTACAGTACATTCATTCCATTGGGGTGTTCCCGGACCACAATGCATCGTTGAAACGGTTTGTTCCAGAAGCCCATTACATCTCCAGCAACGGCAAGCTCTCTCTCTTTCTTGTCTTCTTCTCCGCCAGCGCCGTTATCCGCTTGTGGTTCCATTCTTTTCTTTTCTTTTGGTTTTTGGGGTCTTGGCCCTCCTCCGTCGCTCGCTCTCGCTCTCCACGCCGTCCCTCGAAGCCTAGAACCAACCGTGATTTCGCCCTTTTGCTTCTACTAAGTGGGAACTTATCTTGTACATCCGGACCTCGCTTGCGCCGCTGGCATCTCCAGGTCGAATTTCTCATGTGTTGCATCTCGCCTTGCATCTCATTCATGAATCCTAGGCCGACCTTCAATGTCTACTGTCCATCCCATGTGCACTGATTCCTCTTCCTCTCTTCCTCTCTTCTTTACTCTTACTGCCTTTCCCCTTTGCTCGTCATCGTGGTGCTGCTAGCCCATTTTCTGATTTCTATCTGAGCAACCACGTGTTTATACACCGCTGTAGACGCATCGTTGCACCTGGGAGGCTCCTTCGTTTTGTTTGTTCTTATTTCCTGGTTTTCTATCTTTTTCGGTTTTTCTTCTTTGATTCACAGGTTCAGACTCTTGAGGGAGGGATCGCGGTTGATTTTCTCTGTATTGTCTCTTGGTGTCGTAGTCGCGTGACGCGTCTCTTATCAATAGTGGTGCCCAGCTCGAAGTCTGGTCCTTCGCGTTAGATTTCTTGGTTGCTATTGTCTATGGTGAAGGGAAGCTAGAGATCCTCGCTTCCATGGTCTGCTGGATATGTCGAATCCACCGGAAAGACCATGGACCGAGGAGGAGAAGGTAGGGACTATCTCCTTTCCTATCATGATAATTGTTCTATCTCCCTAGTGAATACGTTGTATTGGACTTCGGTCTTCCCCCATGGTGAGGGAATTTGTGGGCTGACTGGAAGATCTTATGAGTCTAGTACACCCTGCTTACAGAAATCCTCAAGAAAGCAGGATTCCCTTCTAGCCATCTGGTAAAGATGATTCGGGACTTCAATATCTCCCCGAGTTGGGCGGATATCCCTCTCCCTTCAGGTACAGATTTGCCGACGCCTTCTTACTTGTCTTCCGAGACCGTGGGACTCATGCCCTCTTCCTGCTGGATCAAGACTGGCATTATCGGCGCATTGTATTCTTCTAACTTAGACGGCTGACACCATCTCTCTAGGTCGTTCCTTGAATTCCTGTCAGCTGGCATTCTACAACATGTGTCAACATGTCCAAACATCAGTCAATCCAGGCATGGGGCCTTTCCCTCCACCGCGTCACGAACCCTCGGTACCCCCTGCGCCTCCATTTGAGGGCGGCAATGTCCGCAAGCGCCCCCTCTTTCCTGCTGACAAGCCTATTCTCGCTCCGCGAGCAATCCAGCCTCGTCCGGCGGGAGCCAGCACGGCATCTCTGAGCAGCGAAAGTGGTGCATCGGCCCTTGTCTCGCCGGGCGCGGAAAACCTAGTGACCAGAGGCGAGCCACCGCGTAAACGCGGACGGCCAAGCAAGGCCGAATCCGAGCGACGCAAGGCAGCTGCCGAAGCCCGGGGAGAAACGTACCCTCCCCCGCGACGGCCTGGATCCAGCAAGATGAAGATTCCCTCTGCGCCGACCAGCCCCGCCGGGGTCGAGCCATTTGGGGCTACATTTATACCCCAGGCCACGGGAAGCCGTCCCCCGCAGGTCCCGCAGCCCGATCCACGCTACGCGCCTCCAATCGCAAGGACGATGGGGTTCGTTGGGCCTGGTGAGGACGATCGGCCGAGAGACTCAATCAACCGTGACATAGGTCCGACATTAAGAGAGCTACCTCGTCCAACAGATATGAGACAGACGTTACCATCACCACAGGCACTGCAGTTGGGGCATAGGGAGACAATGTCGCGCGCGGATCCCGCCGAGCGCCCCTTTGAACGACCTCATCCCGACAGGATACCCTTCGCAGACCGAAGAACCCTCTTTCACCCCACCAGCAGACGTCATGATGAACCCCCCGTGTCGGGACCAGAAATGCCTTTGCGCACCCCGAGTGAAAAACGAACGGAGTAACGGCCAAATGATCTTCATTCCGCAAACCCTGAGCACACAACAAACGAAACCCACCCCCGGAACCGAGGGACAATTTAGAAGGTGATGGTACGAACTTCAACTTCATTCCAGCATGGGACGAGTGGCAACGAAAAAGAAACTATGAGCGACGCATTTTCCTATTTATATTCCTTCCTTTCATTACTCTTTGATTTTCTATCCTCGCTATCACACCGGCGAGCAGTATCATTTCTTGCCCCTATACTCAACGGGCTACAAGCCCAAAATTATACGAATTTCTTTACCAGAGCTTGGCGCCCAATCTCTATCTGGTTTATTTCGAGCTCTGAATGTGCGACAAAGACAGGTCCCATGTTCATGATGAAGCATGAATGATTTAACACACGTCGGCAAGAACCCATACTTGGATATAATCTCTTTCTTTCATCATCTTTCTTTTTACGCTGTGTCTGAATGACGTTGAGCGACATGAATCTAATCCAGTCCAGTTTTTTTCTTGCATAGCGAAACAACCAATCCTCGCATGTCAGCATCTTCTATCCTTCCTCAGGAAGCCCGCTCGATCTTGAACTCGAATGACCGTTATGATATAATGTTGAGCAGAACTCTACTCTCTCTGTTTTACCCGTTCTCTTTCTTATCTAGTCTTCACTCTTTTATAATGACTTTTCATCCACTTGGTTGACTATCCTAGAAAAAAAAGAGGCTCAACCTTTGCATGTACAATTACTCAATACCTGCATATTTCATTGATGCTATATATGTGTTCAGCCTGTTTCTTGAATGGGAGATCATTGTGTTCCAGACGGTCTGCCCATAGCTTGGAAACGTACACAATCGTTGGTCTCTGTCGCAGAATGTGTTCTGTCTTCTGTCTAGCTGCAAATCCTGTCTCTTCTCTCTTTCCCTCTCTTCAGCCCACCGAGCTTCTTCCGAAGATGCCGCTGGAGAACCATGATGTAGGTACCACCATTGCACTACACATGTGAGTGTCAGAATGGCCTAACTATTGATCTCGTTGATTACAAATTACACCAATGAAACCTATCTGTCGTACACCGGCAAATACTGCTCTATTGGTACCGGTTCGCAGGCGCCTCTGCTGTGGGAAATTGGACGGATCTTCTCCGGTAAGCATTTCTTGGTAGTCTTTTACAGAAGCACATCAAGTCTTCGACAAGGTGGTTTCCTCGCTTTGGTTTGTATTAAGTCTAACTAAAGTTATTGCCCCCCTCTTACACGATCAAGCAGAGAACGCAATTTAGTCCGGGAGTTCTCCGGTGATGAGGACTCTGCAGCTGAGACACCTGTGGCTGCGACCGATGAGGTTGTAGACTCTGAGACTTGAGATGGAGATAAAGGAGGCGGAGACTTGTGGCCGGGGTGGGAATCTGCTGCCTTTGATGGTGGGGGTGGTTGTTCTTGCTGCTGCTGTTGGCGCTGCTGGTCGAGCTGGGCTCGAATGGCACTGACTGCAAAACTCAGGCTTGGGCCCGAGGGTACGGCGATTCTCTTGCCGACCCTGGGTATCGTGCCGGAACCCTCTTCTTGTTGCACCAGTTTTGTCATGTCGTCCCTGCCCTCCACGCGGCGAGTCAGGTACACCTTGGGCGCGGACCCCTGACGAGGAACGTCGCGTTTGCGTATACGTTCGATTTCCTGCCGGTACGCAGTTTCGTAGATATCAAATTCGGCAGCACCAGGGGACTCGCTCACAATCGGCTCGGCTTCGGTGTCAGAGATATTTTCCGGTTCGTCACAGACGTACTCCATATCGGTGTCACCGTCGGCGTCTGGCTGTGCTGGACCGGTATATGTAGATGGCCCAATGCACAAGAATGGAAATTCCTCCTCCAGTGGGTCTCGAGCATGCCCACGTGTCCCCTCAACGCTGCGTTTGGTCGTCGCCGAGCTAGCTCGAGACAAAGAGACATGTGTCGATGGGGACTGAGGGACGGATGGCTGCATATCGTCTCCGGGTTCGTCACGAATGTTACCACCCCGTACAGAACTTGCGTCCTTGGTCTCAGCCACGGCACTCCTGGTATTTGTGCTGACGTCACCGGAAGGATTCGTTTGGCTGCCACTATCCAGCGGCCGGTTAAGAGGCAACCCTTCACGCTGCTGATGATATCCTTGGAGGACGTTATCAAGCTCCTGACCTCTTCGGTCATAGGTGTTCAAGCTCTGGCTCTTATTGAATTCTGGCACGGTTTCCATTGGAAAGTCTTCCTCCGGTTCCATCTCAAGAGGTGGTTGAACGAAATGTGATTCATACTCCTGTCCGAGGATACTCTGCATGGGCGGCTCTGCCTTGGCTGGGTCTATCAACCTTTTGAAATTCTTGACAGCTTTCATCTACGGCTCACTGTTAGTTCGGCGTTGCACCCGGTACAAGAAGCGGGTAGGGACTTACCACGGCCAAAACATGCCCGATGTTCTTCGTAATGGCCGAATTCATTTCCTCTTCCGTGGGAAGCCCGATGATTTCGGCAGTGTTCTCACTCTCTGACAACAGAGGGTCTAGTCCGTCTCTTGTTACCCAAGGATGTGCCTGAATTCCTTTTTATAAGCGTCGTATTCGCATGAAAAGGGATCGTCTCCAACTTACTCGAAGCTCATCCATGGTAATTCTCTTCGCCGGATCTTTTTCCAGGATCCGTGTCATCAAATTCTTGAAATTGTCATCGGTTTCGCCTTCACACGCGATGGGGTCATTCTTGATAGCATCATAAAGCTCGAAAATACTTTGTTTCTCGAACGGCAATTTGCCGTATCGAAGACAGTATAGCGTGACTCCCATGGACCATATGTCAGCCGCCTTGCCGGATACATCGCCATGTTTAACGACACATAGCTCGGGGGGCAGGAAAGCCGGAGAGCCTGCTGACTTTGCCGTGAACATATCCGAATCCTTCTCAAACATTTCGGACACGCCAAAATCGACAACCTTGAGGACATCGTCGCTCGTTACTAGGCAGTTATCCGGCTTGATGTCGCGGTGCACAATTCCCTGCGCATGTAAATACTCAATGCCTAGAATCAAGTCGCGGAACCAACAACGGCACAACCCATCCTCATAAGGGTCGGCCCTTTCTTCGAGCCCGACCTTCATAATCACACCCTTTTTACACATCTCCATGACCATATACAGGGAGTCTTCGGTTGGGTCGTCTAAGACTTCTATTAAGGACACAAGGTTGTTATGATGCAGCTTCTTCATGATAGCTATCTCTTCCTTGATGAGGTACAGGGCGTTTCCTCTTAGGTCGTTGTCCAATCCCATCGGACGGCGATGGAGGGGAGAGTTGAAGCCGTCTGACGAAGTTTTGGGGATTCTAGGTCTGCGCAAAAGGTGGGACTGGGCACGCTTTCTCAAACGCGCTTTGGAGAATTCTTTGACGGCCTGGTTTCAGTACAAACCGGTTAGTAGGCCAATATTGTACAAGCCGGCTATCGCATGCCCGGCACCGGGGAAGGAAAGTCCCGGTGGAATGGAGAGCCGAGCACTCACGAATTCATTTCCAAACTGGTCAATAGCGAGGTGCACAGCTCCAAACGAGCCTCTGCCAATTTCCTGTTTAATCCAATACTGGTTGATTCTGTGTTCGGCAGTACCATCATCCTGACTAGTGGTATACTCCGATCGAGCATTGAGTGTTTCCTACCGACCGCTCACCAGATTCATCAGCATCACGCTCTATGCAAGGAAAGACAGAAACAGGGAGCTGGGGAAGAGTGTAGCAACCTTGACCGGCCGTCTAACTATGGGATTTCGGCGGTAGTGTCTCTGTGGACTTTCGTACGAGGGCGTTGAGCTGGAGCCAATTTAGTCAGCGGTTAAGGGGCATCATAGGTAAAACGTCCAGGTATGACGATCCTTATATCCGAGAAGTCATCAAGGCAACTCACGCATAACGAGCTGGTCGGGGATGTTGAGGCGCCGGGCGATCAACGGGGTTTTGACTGGCCTGACTGGAAACGTCGGCATTTTCGTTGGCCATTGAACATAGAAATCCCGAAGCAACGAAGAGGGGCAGAGCAACCCGAGAGGATGTCGCTTAGGTTCGTTATTGATTGGACCTTTTCTCAGGCGGATAGGGCGAAACCTGGATGCCTACGTCCGAATGTGGGGAAAGGCTTGGAGGGGTGCGCGAAGCAAAGGTCGGAGATGACGATCAGAACTGAAGTGGAGGGACGGAGGACGAACGGAGCCGAGGACAGGCCGATTTAAGTAGCAGGAGCGTAGTGAGATCACACTCTTTCCATCAGGGCTGGCGATGAAAGAGGCGGAAGAAGAGAGAGGTAGACGTAGAATAGAGGAGAGAGAGGAAAGGAAAGGATACCTTAGGCCGACGATGGTGGAGAGGCAGGTTCCATGTGTAACTGAATTACCGGCCGGAGCTTCTCGTATCGATGCGCCGCAAGTCACTCCGTCCGCAATTCTGAAGCGAAAAGGTACCTGGCCAGAGACTCAGGCACGAACGCTCGGCCTAGTCGTATTACGGGCGTCTTTGGACCCGCTTCCAGCATTGGCCGGACCAGCTCACCGCCCACGAGTCGCAAGTCGAGCCTAATTCAACGCTTCCATGCCTTAGGATTATTACCTTCCAGCTGTTCCTCCCTTCCAAACCTCACGTTGAACTCCCCGTCTCATCCTCTTCCGCACCATGGTTGTCTATTCCTTCTACATCTTTGATCGCCATGGTATGTTTCCCCCTGGACACGTCATCCTTGTGGGGAACTCTGCTAACCCGTCTGTTCTTGCCAGCGGAATGCGTCTACAAGCGGCGCTGGCTCCCCCGTCCGAGCTCGTTTACCGGGAAATCCTCACGCCCGACTTCTGAGGCATCGGCTCCGGCCAATGGATCGCCGGCTGTCCTGGGCCAATCTGCGCAGACCACCGACGATGACGCGAAGCTGATCTTTGGCACGGTCTTCTCTTTACGGAACATGGCTCGCAAGCTCGGAGGTGACGAGGATAGGTAAGCTGATCAGGATCACCTTGCGCCGAGGAAGGCGCCCTCCCCCTCTCAATGCTAATTCTTTCTCGTGTCTTGCCATTAGTTTCGTCAGCTATCGCACCAGTCAATACAAGCTGCATTATTACGAAACTCCTACGAACATCAAGTTTGTGATGCTTACCGATATCAAGAGTCCGAGTATGCGGGTGGCTTTGCAACAGATTTACATCAACCTTTACGTTGAATATGGTGCGTTGCGATTCTGATCTCGGACAACCACTCCTATCGGCAATTACTGACACGGTTGTTTTGGTAGTGGTTAAAAACCCGTTGTCTCCGGTTGAACATCCCGGAGGCGTTGGTGTGAATAACGAGCTTTTCGAGGAGTCGTTGGAACAATTCGTGGTACGTGTCCGGTTATCTTCGAGATCGTTGTAGGTGTTTCTGACTAAGTCGTTAATCAGACACGCGTTTTATCTTAAACTCTCGCCATCCTACCGATCTGTTCGCTCAAAGGCGCAAGAGTTGGCGGTTATCAGACATTGCTTGCTGAACAGTCGGTCCGAACTCAAGAGCTCGGTGTTCCTTGGGGTCACGATCTTCATCTGACGAATGTCATCCACCAGTACGACCAACCATGAGACATACCACAATTTGCGCCAAAGTAACCCCGAGCTTCGGGTTGTTCCGCCGCAGCAGGTGGTCCGGGAGCAAAAGGCTTCAGGACGTCATCACCCAAGCGTTGCCCGCGTTTCATAGAGAAGAGCAATCGCATTCGTGGGAATGACTTTCAGCTCAAGCCATCGTCATTTGAAGAAGCAGACATAAAAGTGAAGTGGCTTGCCGAACCAGGTCGTCCCGTGGACAGATAGAAACATGACGCTGGGGACAATTTGCGAACGTCATTCTTTGCTGTTCTGAGAACAGATACAACAGATACATAGTCATGGCGCACATGCAACCCAACCGCACCAGGCCCATAGAATCAACCCGAAGGACGATCGAATCAAGATCTGTTGCTTCCCGCCTCGTTGCTCATTGGCGGTCTAGATCGGACGAGATCTACTGGTATATATCACTGCCAGCGCATCTTTGTCCTACTTTTTCCCCAGTCTGAGTCATGGCATAAGCCAATCCAGAAGGTACTGGAATGTCGTTGACGTCGTACGTTATCATCACAGCCAGAGCCAGAAGTCGCATCAAATGCGACCAAAACGAAGGGACGGAAAAAAGAAACGTGGCTAGCTGCTAGGTATATGTGAGATAATTCTATTTATTTATTTCTGAGCCTTCGTTGGGCAATCAAAACCTTATCCTCTTTGAAATCGAACCCCGTTCAGATACGTTCAAGACGATTGATCGTCCCTGCTCATGCAAGCCTCCCTGCCCTCAACCTTCCCCGGTTGAGAACCGACTGCCACGTGATGCGTCGAACCCATGTGCGCATGCGACCATGCATTACTCAGTAATATTGAAGCGAGGCCTCTCGTTGAGAAAGACGGGGTAGATTAGGTTTAGATTAGGTTCGATGGACGTCATTTCAGCACGTTTAGTCGAGCCACGTGCGAGGGTTAGAGTAGTAAGTAGTACACCGGGGGTGAGTAAGGGGTATTAGGTCATAGCCCCGGCAGTGATTTGTACACTGGACCGTGTCACTATTGATTATACTACGGGGTAGATAAGTAAGAGTCTGGGGAAGAGGGGAGGTGCTGATCCTATGAACTGCGTCTCTCCGTGTGGAGGTAGCTGTGCGTGATCTTACGGTGTACTTTACTTTGTACGACCTTTTACTCTTTATTCATGTATGAATTGTACGGATCAGATCGAGATGAATGAATGATTTGTCTGCAGATACCCCGGGGGGAAGGGGGGATGTGTAGCAGTAGCACACGAGCTGGAAAAAGACCGGCGCCAAGCGATAACCACGGAATATGTACACCGGTAGGCAGAGATTTAAGTAGGTATTATTCATACGATTTATTCAAACTCAGCGATAGGCAATTAGGCAAAGGAGGCAGCCTCGATCTTAGCGGCTGCCAGTCTAACTGTCTAAGAGACTAAGACTAAAACTAAGAAACGAGTGACGACCGACGGGAATCCATCTTGATCATATGGAGCAATGGAGCATCACCTGATGGCTGATGCAGATGAGAAGGAAGAAGGGTCCACTTCTAGGGGGACACTGGACACTGGACAGGCGTGAAACTTCAGACTAGACTGACTGGGGAGTGTTCCCGGAGAGGTAAATATTCAAGCCGAGGGGGATGGGGAAACCCCCGGTAACCTTACAGAGTACGGAGTAAAATTGTACTCCGTACGATGCAAGACAAAGAAGAGAGAAAAGGGTGAGAGAAATAAAAAGAGAGGTTAGTCTGGTTCGGGAAGGCCAAAGGGATGCGACGAAGCTTGAACGGGGCCATTCCGGGCGTGATTCGTTCGATGCGGCTCCAGAGAGGGGGAGAGAGAGTGGATAGAGTGGAGTCCACTAGACAAGCGTCGTGAGATTTCCCGACCGTAGAAGTAGTGGACTAGTGTAGGAGTAGTTAACACTGGACACTGGACACTGTAATTTGTAGGGAAGAGGAGCCGTTGACCCTTCCAACCGAGCCAATCGCCAACGAGCCTGGCAAATTGTTTATCCTGGCTGCATATCCCTTCTCTTCCCTCCGAGTAGTTGGATCTTGTGCCAGGGGTAGTCCGTCCTAAATTCTAGTAGCAGGAGGGACACCCTAACAGCCAAACATGTGAAGAAGCAGGCATGCCAATCATATCACCGCCAATGTCCACTGGTCGTTGCATTGTCTGACCTGGCGGTCAGCCTGCCTCGTGCTTGGATCGGTGTAGCACAACGGACGGAAGTAAGCATGGATACGATCAGATTCGGTGCAGGGTTGAGAGGCTGAGCTGCTGAGTGTGAGCACAACCCACTGGGGTGTGGCCGTTTCGGAATCTAACTCCAACCGGATGGACAACGGGGTCCCACGAGGGAATTGGAATGATTACGATGGATGGTGGATCCCACCACAGGTACGCTGGTTGTTGCAATAGGGAGAGGGAAGAAGGAGAAGTGAGAACGGTGAAAGATCGGGGGTTTCCCTTCTCTGGCTCCCTGGTAAGGTACCAAATACCGGTCCGAACTGTATCCATGGATGGTACCTATGAATACATCTATACAGTGATACCTACAGTACAGTAACCAGGTAAGATACCATGGATGTAGGTATCAAATGAAGTGGCTGACTTCTCATGGTTGTTTCCTCTTTGGCAGCAAGCATGCATTCGATTCGACCTCTGTCAGAGAGGAACAAGGGTACAGATCATCATGCGGCATGCAATTAGGTAAATTCAAACCCCTCAAAGACTTCGACTTGAAGGAGAGGACCATTCAATTACCTCACCTCCGGAGACAGGGGAGCTGTATGGATGGGTGGGTTTCAATTCCAACATCGATTCTGCCTATTCGGACTCCACGAGAAGTCCCTAGGTAGTTATCGCTCGGAGCGATAATTAGTATTCAGTCGGAGGTATGCACCCATCCCCATTTGATGGAGGGAGGTACTCAGGAGATCGGATCGAGTAATTTCCACTCGCACAGAACCGTTTTCTGACACGCCCATTCTCGGCCCGGTGATTGGCCTTGAAAAATGCCTCGTGTGCAATTCTTTTCCAACCCGAAATTCATTTACGGCGAGTACGTCAATTTGGACGCACAAGCTAATGCCGATTTTCATTGATATTCGCAATCTCCATGAGACGTCCATCTCGTCTGATCGCGGGCCCCTCTGTCGACTGCCGGGCAGATGCTCTCGCACGTGGGCGAGAAACTGAAAATGAATGTTCAGCTCTCAAGCCACCGCCATTTGCAAAATCCCGTCCGAAGGATGCCTGGGATCACACTACCTTCGGTGTAGCTGGTTATCAGCGGATCTCCGCAATCCACGCAGGGATTCCTCCGTTAAACTCACGCCGGCAAGCCCTCCCAGTCGCAGGGCGGCCGAGGTCCGCTAGGTTCGCTAGGGTTAGTTATCTACGGTGGCACTACTCCATATCCAGGCATACGGAGTAGAGGAGCACCCACGTCATGAAAGGAATCCGCTGGATGGATTGACGAGCCGAATGGGGACAATTCCTAGTTCGGTCTCGTCAACGAAACGGACAACCCTGTCAATACTTAAGGGTGGTCAATACTTGCGTACATAAAAATATTCTCCGTAGCCTAGGTTGAACGCAAAAGAGTAGTGATCGCTGGGTGGCTCGAGCGACCTTTGGGGCTGCATTAGAATTGTTTGCGACAAGCACACCTTGGCTATCTCTACTGGGTGGCACGGAGTACTGTGTCGCGGTGCCAATGGCCAACCTGGTCGTGCCTTCTTGCTCGACTTGAGACAAAAGGATGATGAAACTGATACAGGACGTGCTCTGCCGCTTCTGAGTCCCGAGTCCTGACACCTGATGACCTCCACTGGGCTTTGGGCATCATGCCAAACTCGCCTCCGATTTAAGTTGACGAGGGGACGCCCATGATCGAGTCACGGTCGGACGGACTCGAACACGAATAGTATGGAATGCCGAATGTAGTGGACGGGAGCATTTCTTAGCTGCTCAGACTGAAGTAATAGCCCTCGACTAGTGAGTGGCCATCACTGTCAGTCCCCGCCATTCTCTTCTGCTGCATGAGTTGTTGGTCGGCATCATTCCTACCACGTAGGGTAAGCGTCCGACCAGCAGACTTTCAGTTTCCAGGCAAAAGACTAGAGAGTACAGACTGCTGCGCTGCGGGCTTTTCAGCCGCCTGCAAGCGTTGGCGAAATCTGACGACACTGGACATGCACGAGACATCTGACTGACGGAAATAACCCGACTGCTCGGGGACAATTGTTCATGAACCAATCCACACACGGAGGAGGGGGGGGGGGTAACAAATCGAGCGAAATGAAATCAGATCATGATAGTCAAATAGAGTAAATCGAATACAATACCAGAAATTTGATCAATCCACGTTAGTGGAAGCCCCTCCATGGGGGACAACTACCCCTCATTATTGAGTCTTTTAGTCTTTAGTCTTTACAGCGTAAAGCAGTTGGAGTTGGACCAACAAGCCACGGGAGGTAGCTAAGAGCAAGAGCAAGCACTAACCATCGATGGTCCGTTGCAGATGCTGCACAGCCTCAGTCTGGCTTGACTAGCCCACTCGTGTGGATTCTTGGTATGTATGAACGTCATCCAACGAACGATTTTCCCGTGAAGAGAGGGGAAGGGTCGGGGTAGAGGTACTGAGCAAATTGCTGGCCTTTGGTGGAATCATCTCCAAGATAATCAAGATGATGGTGATGATAATAAGTGGGTATGTACTGTACATAACTCCGTGGCTCTGCAGTACATAGAAAAAGGGACAGAATCACAAGTGAATGGGAAGAGCGGTCATCGTTACAGACCACCGGCTGGATCCATGGGAACTCCGAACTGGTATTACCAGGGAAGTACCTACTCTGTAGGGAGATGGACCTGCGCCACGCTAGCATTAATAATTCTCGAGAGGCACAAGTAATCTCCCTGCCTAGACTACGGGAGGTCAGTACAGGGTAGCCTGCCTTAGGGAGTCATAGTGGCAACATTAACACCGTAGTTGCAGGAAGCTGCCAGAAGACTGTAGTTACCCGGTTACTCTAACTTATTATTACCTATTTTCTTTTTTCTTTGCTGACCCTGACCTCGTATGGATGTATGGATGTACTCAGGTGTGGCTTGCAGCCCGTACGATACCGGGCTGTGACG